GTATTTTTTTTTCTTTTTATAAATCAGCCATTTTTTAGTACTGTAATGTTTACTAAAGTAAAATGGCTACCATTATGAAATTGGATGACGAGTCAAGATGAATTTTTTTCTAACATGGGTCAGTATTACCTTAACATAGTACCTAGTTTCATAAATATCGGTTGAAAAACTTAAAGGATAAAAATGTTAATGTGAAAAAAAAACAAAATGGTGAATATCTGGTTAACAAAGCGATTTAAAAAAAAAATGTTATTCTTGATTTTCTCTTTATTTTGACCCATAGAACCATTTCCCGGAGTTTGGCTGTTTACTTAGAGGACACTCTGTATATTGCAAAGGGGCGCTACTATTATTTAGTTGTGCCTAGGGCGCTGACATTGTAAAAAACGGGCCTGGCCTCGAGCCGAGCCGAATAATGAAAAACTTGACTAAAAAGCTCGAAGATCCGAGTACTCGCACACCCCTAGTATATTATGCTTAATAATTTAGATCAGGTGAGATAAGGTAAAGCTCAAGCTCGAAAAGAAATGAAAAACGGCTTGGCTCGAGGTTAAAAATCACTATTCGCAAACCCCTAATTAAAAGCATATTTTTCCATTCAATTACCCAACAACTCAATTGGTAGTGCTCAATATTCATTGGAAAAAATCCGACTAAGAACGTGATTTTTTTTACTGTAAACCCAACATTTTACTCATGAATAAGTCAAAAGGAATCGACTTCTAGAAAAAACTTTATAAAACAAAAAAAAGTTGTCCACGTAAGAAACATGGATTTATTAAGTTTAATCCACACACTTTCAGTGATTTCCCTTTGAGATTTGGGTACTCTGCTAGTACAAAATATATACGAGTTTTAAATATATATAACAATTCCTCCCCACTTATTTGAGAGAAAGCTCATTTACAAATCCATCCTTTTGATGGATTTCCTGATTCTCGTTTGATCAGCGAATCTTAGGGGCAGCTGTTAGGAGCAGTTCACAATTTCCACAGAGATGATCCTACATAATTTCTTGACTGTACTCTCTCGCCAATATTGTAATGCTTGTTAAATATTTGTTGTTGAGCCTCATTGTCATCTTCACCAGGCCTTAACACGTTCGCTACTGAGCGTCGCATATATGCGACGCCGCGGTCATTGCCACAGACCGAGGTATACATTTGAATCTTACACATAGACCGGCTGTCACTTGGTTTCGTACACACAGACCGCGGGAGAAAACCTGTAAAACAGTGATCATTTACATTGTAATGTGCTACAATCGTGTTTGTAAATAATTTATTCTTGTTTTTTTTGTATTTTTTATAACCTTTTGTAATGTTGCATATTTGCGACGCCCGGTCTACAGCAAAGACAATAGTGAAACTTATCATAGTTTTCTTTAAATAGACCAAATGTCGCATATATGCGACAGTTCATTTTTGTTAGTGTTTTGAGGTAAAAGTAAGTAAAAAAAAAAACAGATTATTCAAGAAAAGTTTATAACTGAACATATATAAAAGCTACAGAGGATAATGCAGCATAAATACTGCATACATACATACAGTGATGCAAAAAAGTTAAGACCAGTTTTTCCAACTATCATATGGCGTCACCAATTTTCATATCCACAGACCAAGCGACGCAGTTGTGCAGTCTGTAGACCACTGCAGGGAATTCAGTGCCTTCAAATAGACCATTACAAAGATATAAGCATTTTAATAACATTATAACCCCGACGCAAAAATGCGTCGTCAGCAGTGTTGGGAAGTAGCGCGCTACAAGTAGCGACGCTACAGTAGCGCGCTACTTTTTTTGTAGCGTTAGCTGTAGCTACGCTACTTTTAAGATTTTGTAGCTTTAGCTGTAGCTAGCTACATTTTTAAAGTAGTTGTAGCGGAATTTTAGCTACTTTTCTCGCTACATTAACATTTGTTTGAGATAGTGATTTTTATCATAACCTCAACCTTACGTGCAACAACCTCTTTCAAACTGAGATAAAAAAAAAAATTACGCCTACTTTCTTGGCTTCAAACAGCTGGTTGCAGCCGTTTCATTCCCTATTACAACGTTGTGTGGACATAGAGGTCATTAAATTAGTGTTATCCACATTTTTGGCTCTCATTTCCTTAATTTACTACTCTATGATTACTGTCAGATAAAATAAAATCGCTAGATGCAGACGACGTTTAAACGGTACCGGTGACAAGAGAAGCTATTGAATTGAATGCTTGCAAGTGATTGACAGGACAGGGGAATTAGTAATCAATTTAGTTTCTTTATTATATCGATAATGCTTCAACTTGGGGTTTAATGGAATCCAACACACCTTGAAATAATGAGAAAGCTGGTCTATCAACATTTGCTTCAGCTGTTGATTGTGGTTTATCACAAGCCCTTCCTTGGTTAGATTACGAAGATTTTTCAAAGGTTTACTAAATTAGCAAAGAGGAAATTACCTGATGAGATTTAAGATATGCCTAGACTACATGATAATTGTAATGAAAAAATCTCCATATAACATGAAACTTACATTGAAAAAATAGCATAGTTTGCTCCTGCTAACAGCTCTTGTATAGGACTGAGGCTATGGTTTTATTATTTACTAGCTGTACCCGCGGGCTTTGCCCCGTTTAACTTCTTAATTTTGAAGATGAGCTCGTTCGCATGGCTCAATCACGTCCTGGTTGAAGTTTGTTCGCTACGCTCACTCACTTTTAGGTTGGAGCTCGTTCGCTGCGCTCACTTGCCTTCAGGTTAGCTCGTTCGCTACGCTAACTCGCCTCCAGGTTGAAGTTCGTTCGCTACGCTCACTCACCTTTTGGTTGCAAATTAGCTGTTGTCATAAATTTAAAAAAATAATAGTGCTGCACCCTGTTGGTAATCCTTGTAACTTTAATTCTTTTGCACATCATAGAACAGAACCAACTTGTTTAATTGAAACAGCTGTTAAGATTCATTAATTCCATTTAAATATGAGTACTCATAAGGTTAACATGGGAAACTCCAGAGCCACTTGGGCGGAGCCCGAGGGTCCGATCAGAATAAAAACAACTTAGTTTTCCTATTTAATGCCTAAAGAATCAGTGTACAAAATTTCAGCCTCCTAGGTAATGGGAAGTGGGAGAATTAGTGATGAGTGAGTGAGTGAGTCAGTCAGTCAGTCAGTCAGTGAGGGCTTTGCCTTTTATATATATAGATTTTATTATTTTGCTTCCAACGGTCCAAACAAACCAATTTACAATTATTTTTTTTATATAATGTTTAAGACGAATACCAAGTTCAATTATTATGAATATATCTGTTTAGTCCTTGCAAGAACAAGCCTACTATAGCCAACTTGTTACATAGCCAAGTAGGCCTACATGTTATTTTTACTTTACAAATTTCATCATGTTTAAATTAAAAGCCGATTTCAGGATAAGTTGCTGAATACTGTTTTCTCTACCAACTTAGGTTGAAGCACAATTTGCCCTATGCATAATGACAATAAAGGACGATTTCTTGACATTGAAAAGTGTTATTCGTAGAATAAGTAATTTATCACTTTAAAAGTTATAGCATAGATAAAACATACTCCCTTTGTAGATTTCTCATCCTCATGGAACAGCTGAAGACAATTTTATTGTTAGTTCTGTACGGTTTTCTGTAGAGGTCGTGTTTTGTTAACAATTTGTTTCCCGTTATTACAGCCATCCATTTAAAACCTCTTTTAACCAAATAATACGATCTAATCATAAACAATAACCTGTCCCCTAGTTATATAACCAAACAGTAAAGCACAAATCAAGAAATTAACCCTAAAATAATAGAAACAAAGTTTCGTCGACACTAGCGCCCATGTGTCACGTACATGAACTAGACACGAAAAACGTGCTTCAAAATTTACAATGGGATGAGAAGTCTACTTGTGTTGGTTAGTCTATGGTTATATCAATGTTGTTTTTAACATTAAAAGAAAGGCAATAAACTCCAATTTCAGTAGGCTAGGCTCTGTAACACAAAAAGTATTTTTAAATAATCTTTTTGCAGTTTTATTGATCTTAATTGTTGATATAAAACATCTATAAATGAATCTATATTAAATTAATAAAATTAGCTTTTAAAATATAGTTTGGTTGTATGTCCTTTGAACTTAATGAAAATTACATTTTAAGATGCTTAAAAATAATGCAATATTTAAAAATAATTACTAAATATGATGGGACATCCAACTATTTGGTTCTGTTGTTGTAATGTTATGTTTATAATGCCAACAAATTAAATACAATCTAGGAATAATTTGTTTTCCAAGTAATGTTAGATACAATACTGATATTTTTTTTATGTTTGTTCAATAAAAATGTAGTATTAATTTTACATTTGCCTAATGTGCGTGGAATAAAAATTAACGTCTTTGGAAAAGTAGCTAAAATTGCAGCTGTAGCTACATTTCATTGTAGTTGTAGCTAGCTACTTTTTCGGAACTGTAGCTGTAGCTGTAGCTAAGCTACTTTTTTGGAAATGTAGCAGTAGTTGTAGCTAGCTACATTTTAAAAGTAGCTTCCCCAACACTGGTCGTCAGTCTATTTGAATGTGACTAGCCATCGCATATATGCGACGGCAGTCTATGGGTGGATACCGGCCGTCGCATATGTGCGTCGCTGGTCCATGTTAATGAAAAATTTCGTACTATTGCAGTAGCGAACGTGTTTAAGTGATCTAGCTTTGTTCTCAAGTTCCTGCCAAACATTAATTGTGCTGGGGATGCACCGGTACTCCACTGAGTAGCTGTTCAAAACGTAAGTGTTCCAAAAAGTAGTGCTGCACCGCTCCCCATTGGTAAATCTAACTACTTAATGCTATTGCATATCATAGAACCAACTTAAATAGTTATAACAGCTGACTGAATTATTTAATTCCTTTTAAATATGAATACTCATAAGGTCAACATGGGGAACTACAGAGCCACTGGGGCGGAGCCCGAATGGACTTTTGAGATCAGAATAGACCTCAATTGAGCTTTGAAACTTGTGCAGGAAATGCGGAGGAGACGTAATGAAGTAAGTGTTGAACTTCGCAAAGCTCGAAAAGATGATCAACTTCTTAAAAGAAGGAATATCAGTTTGGACGAGATTGCTAGTCCTTTGCAAGAAAACAACGCCAACACCCAACCTATACTGAGCATGGATGCAATCATTGATGGTAAGGATAAAATGTTTTTAAATCAACTCTTCTAGCTTCTGTTCTTCCTGCCAATTTTGAAGTAAATAAAAACATTTGAATTACTTTGAGCAGCTTTGTTAAAAAAAACAACTTTTTCTGGACTCTTTAATCCATTTTGAATTGTTCTTTGTTTTAGCGAATTTCCAATATAGGGAATAAGCTATTACCATAGTACTCTGTGAGGTACCAAATTTTAAGGGGGGTAAAAACGTATTGCTAGTCAACAAACACCATAACTTACCCGATTTTTACCCACAACATCCTACTCCTAGGCCTATGTGTTGGCCATAGCTTGGGCTATGGGCCAAAGAACGTAGGCCTACTTTTAATAACAGTGAAGTACACAAACACACCCACAACGATATATTTATTCATAATAGCACTTCGTTTCACATAATAAAGTTAAAACGAGCGATTTTACGAATATTTAACGCTGATGACAACATCACTTAACCTCGAAATGGTGTTTGTTGACCATCGACAGACGACAACTAGACCGGCTCAACAGGTGAATTTCCGATCAGCTGTTGGCTAGTTCTCAAACTCACCACCGGAGCGATTGAGCCTCGACCGAGGAAATCATGATTTGAGTCGGACAAGATTATTCGCTGTTTGACCGCCGACCAGCTCGCACAAATTACGAATACGACCCTACGATCCTATTACGAAGGTTAGCTAACACACTAGTTAGGCCCTTTTTTAGGTTTTACGTTATTTCTGTTTTATCTTACGCATACTGTGCTTAACTTATCATCCTTTTCGTTTTCTTAAATTCCCGATTCGACTTATCTAAATTAGTTTTCGCCGACTTGCATACAACCCGCCAGTTCCTGCCTGCCAGTGACTAGCGGTGGATACCTTTCGGCTCGTTTAAATCAATTGGCTACGAAATTACATTTGTTCCGTTTGCTTAAAGAATTATTACGTACGTTTATTTTAGTTAATTCGTCGTTTAATACCCCGAGACTTGTCGTCTTAGTTCTAAACCCCGTCTTTGGCGGGTGAAAGAATCAAGTCTTGGGAGCAGCTGATTTGAACAATCAAACAGCTACGAATATTAATGTTAAATCTATTTTAAATCATCCCACGATAAATTCTCCATTCGAGTATATTAATTAGGCCCGACGACTCTGCAGGAATTGCTTTTTACATTATATTCGATTTTATATTCTTTACCCACGTCTTCAGAAATTAGTTTAAAGTTTAATACGAGTATTTATATCACATTGGCTTAAGATTGAATACTCGTCGGCCATACAGAGTCATTCTAAAAGTTAGGCAAAATTCTCCACAACACGTTAACGAAGGCTGGGATGATATAGCTCCAACTGGGCGTCTGCAGGATTTCCTGAGCGCTTCTAGAGCTCTGAGCCTCCGATTAAATTTTAATAAATTGATCAGCCAAAGCCGTGACAACTTCGTATCGACCCCTGGATTTTTCTCGGCTCCTTCTGAGCACTCCGGGGAAGAAATTTGAGTGTGGCCGGTTCTAGGGTAGGCCTAGCCTGACTTAGGTGAATACCAGTTTATTCCCCCCCTAGAATTTTGCGTCACAACTCATGGTAAAACCTGGACCAGGGACCGATTAAATTTTTTGTTTTGAGGTCCCTAGAGGCCAAAAATACCATCCAATCAAATTCATTTTTTTTCATCCGTTCAAATAGGTATATATATATATACATAAATGTATACATACATGTATATATATGTGTGTGTCTGTTAGCATGATAACTCGTGCAAAAATGATCCGATTTTAATGAAATTTGGTGTAAACCTACATTTATTTAAACGAGTTCGTGAACCAGCATGATCGGACTATAGGAACGGGATTTTATGGGGTAAAAATGGGGGTTTTCCACTTTTGGCCCTAAAAACATTTTTTATAAATTTCTTTTACATCTATTTTGTAGAGCTTAAAAAACTAATAATTTAGTATGTTGAAGTGTTATCATGCGCCTAATGCTTACCCTACTTAAAATATTCCAAAAAAATCTTAATTTTAAAATTCCCCTTTTATTCTTACGGAGAATAAATAAACTGTTTTTGGACATATTTTGATTAAATTTGGAAAATGCATTGATGTTATACTAAACTATTAACTTTTCACATAAAAAAAAAAACACTTTTTACCCTCCCTGTTGCAGCAAACCTAATTACCCGTTATACTAATGCTATTTAGATCTAGGAGAATTAAACATTAAGGAGAGAGCACACGAATAGGGATATATGTGTTGCGGTGAAGCCAGCTTTGGCAGAACACTAGAGGGGCACGCGGAGCCGTAGAGTGACAAAAAGCCGCAGCTATGCAAGAGTCTCTCCATTGGTTAGGCATGGGAGAGACAGGGAAAAACGCAACGTGAGCTGTTTTGAATTAAAATTGCCGCAAAACTAAAACACCTGTGTTATTCAGCGATGGCATTCTAAAAAAAAAAATTAAATTTCCTATCGAATGGTGTAAATCATTTCTATAAAACTATTATTTATTATTGAAGATCAAAGTTCAACGTGTTGTTTTGGACTTTGAACATAATGATTACTTAAATTACGATTTTGAAATAAATATGACGTATCTATACACATAATCAATTTATTCCCTAAGAGTTTCTCGAAATAAAAATAATATGTTTACCAATAATTGTATTAACAAAAGTTAATTTTTTTTAATTTTTACAGTTTTTAAAACAAGGTTATTAAATTTAGGTTTTAAATCAAAAATTCAATTTTAATGATGAAATAAATATTAAATTAGCATTCCTAATTTATTTTCTCGAATATTTAATACCATTTTATCTTTTAAGGCTAGTTTTAAGGCATTTTTGTGCTAGGTAAATAATTTGAAACAGCCGAAGTCAAGATAAAATTTAAAGCTGTGTTCACTTTTATAACACTCACAGCCGTTCCAATTAAATTACGAATATAAAAAGTAAAATATTTTCTTGGCCATTCAATTTTTGATTTTTTTACATCATATTAAGCCATATTTAGGAAATATTAGCTTATATGGAAATATTACCATATTTGCTCTTATGTTAGGAAATTTTAAATAAACTTTGAGTAAAAAGTGAAATCTTTCAGTTCTTGCATCCTCTTGACGCCACAGTGCGTACGTATCATGGTACAGTATCATTAATTAATTTATAGTTTCAAAACTTATTTCATTTCTTTTTATGAAATAAAAATGTTCAAATACTTATATTACTTTATGATTTGAGTGTCAGATTATGAATGGTATAATCAATACTAACACAATATTAGCAAGGCAAAAAACAAAACATTCATCCTGAAAAGAAAAAAACAGATTAACTGGTCATCTTTGAATTTACTCTATGGTTCATGAATACATTCTTCCTCTTGGTTAGGTTTCTAATATTGCCATTCTAATTTAAGTTCTTAATTTTGTTTGCGTGATGTAGTCTTAAATAAATCTTTTAAATACTTGACTGCTATTTCAGTAACTAAATCTCTAATATGACATTATAACGGTCCTAATTGGTTGGTGTGTTTGGTTGCTGGTTTGGTTAGCCTTAAAAATGTTATTATGTATGTTTCTGTTCACAAAGCCTCCCCCCCCCCCACTACGGTACGGCATGCGGTCGGGCTGGCTGCAACAAAACTCGAGCGTGTCCTCTCCTTAATGTTTAATCCTCTTAGATTTAGATTGGGAATAAATGTGATATTTTTAGGAGATATTTCATTGTAAATCCAATCAGGCAAATGGAAATTCGCTTAGTCTGCATGTTTGCTGCGGCGGGAGTATTTCACAATACAGTAGGCCTACTTCCAGTTGGTCGGTTTTGAAATAGTGTCTTGAAATTTGTGATTTAAAATATTATATGCCTAATATAAAATGAAAATCAATAGGCCTACTATATATTGCAGTTTCATGTAAATCAAGGTTTACCTTACCACTGATATTGAACATTGTATCATCAATCAAACAAATAAAAGTATAAAAAATAACATTTTACTCTTATTAATCTTTGTTGATTATAGGCATGAAGAGTTCTGATGAAGATGCCCAGCTGAAAGCAACTGTTGCAGCCCGTAAAACTCTAAGTCGAGAAAGAAATCCTCCAATCGATGATATGATTAAATTAGGTCTTGTACCACGGTGTATTGAGTTCCTTTCAAACTTTAACAAGTAAGGTTATGCCATTTTGTTTAGTATTATCTAGTCAAACAAACTTAATTAAATTTCACCTAGTTATACTGAATAGCAAATACCATATTTAAACATTATATTTCTGTGATTGTATGTGTGAGTTTTAAAATTTGACTCAAGCAAAATTGACGTGTAAAGGTATAAGGATGAGATTCCAAACCATCAATCTCAGATGTCATGAGATTCATACTCAACACCTTTTATTAATTCACCCCTAAAATACTCCAGTTTGTAGGTCTTAAATTAGACATAACACCTGTGAGGACTAAAAAATGTAGATTGTAACAATAACTGGTTGGTTTTATTTGCAAATTCATATGTTGATGATTTTTTCTTAATTTTATGCAATCAATTGCACATTAATAAGAAGGAATACAATTAACTTACCTAATAACATATTTTGAACTGTGGAATAAAGATGATAGCAGCTAGCTTACCTTAGGAGTACAGTTAGGCCATGGAGCACACAGTTCATCCCATAGGGGAGTAATTGTTATGACTTTGCTTGCAGCCCTAACTTACAATTTGAGGCAGCATGGGCCTTGACCAATGTAGCATCTGGGACATCCGAGCAGACCAATGCTGTCATCAAGGGCGGAGCTGTGCCTAAACTTGTGGCTCTGCTCAAGTCTCCGTTTGCACATGTGGCAGAACAAGCTGTGTGGGCGCTGGGTAATATTGCAGGAGACGGTGCTGTGGCTAGAGACCTCGTCCTCAACAACAACTCTGTAGAGGCTCTACTGGCACTCATCAACCCTGACACTCCGGTAAGTGGGAAGATTCTTGGGCCTCTGAAAATGAAAACACCACTACTCTAAAGTGGAAATGGAAATGGTTTGATTGACAAAGCAATGTTGTTTGACTATTCACAGCGCACTTAATTGTGTGTTGTCTCATGTTTAATCGGCCAACTCAACACATTTTGAGTAGCATCGTCACTGATGGGGGACCGTGTCTTGTCGCCGGAGTGGGCAGAGCAATGCAAACTTACATTGATTAGTTTGGTCTTGCCACTCAAAAGTTAGAAAGATTGCTTTGCTCTTATTTTTTATTATTTATAAAAAATAGTAGTGGCTTGCTTCATTTGTGATTTCACAGTAATTTTGTTGGTGTTCCGGGTATGTAACACTTTAGTTACTTAATTGTTCGTTGTATTTGGTTTTCAGCTTCCATTCCTCCGCAACATTGTTTGGACCTTATCAAACTTGTGCCGCAACAAGAATCCACCACCCAGCTTTGAGAGCGTCAGGCCTTGCCTCATTGCGTTCAGCAAGCTCTTGCATTACTCAGATGCTGATGTTTTAGGTAACACATCTTTTGTGCTTTCATAGTTATTAATATTATCAATGTAAAAGCAAAACCTAATCATTAGCCTATCGATAACTTTTGCATATACACTCACTCTGGTATTGTGTGGTGCGCGTACAAAATAAAAATTACATTATATTATTATAAAAAGGAAATTTTTTTAGGCTTTGTTTCTCATAATGTTTAAACACGTAAACCATTTGAGTTTTATATAACTTAGTTGTGACTTGTAGCTTTGACTTTTAATGCAAATAGACATTCCATCTCCATAGTTAAGTTGTTGTCGGTTTTTAAAAATCAAAATTGTCCTAGTTCATGTAAGCCACTGACAGATTATACTGATCTTAGTTACTAATTTCTGTCAAATACCCAATTTTCTCCCAAATCAAACTAGGTCTAATAGAAAAAGTATATTTTTGTGAGCTATAGCAACTATTATTATGAACTATCAACTTGGTCAGCAACAAAAAATAAGATGTAAAATAGAATTTTAGACACTAGCACCTTCCTAACCATGGCTATTTGTAGTCCATGGCGACAGCTGGTCCATATAGATGGGATTTCTACTTCAGTATCCAATAGTCAATGCTTGTAGTTACTGCTCGTTGAGGAGTTGGTTATAACTTGTTGCTTGTACATGTTCACAGCGGACACATGCTGGGCTCTGTCCTACCTTACAGATGGGAGCAATGACAAGATTCAAGCAGTGGTGGACACAGGGATTGTAGGTCGGCTAGTAGAACTGCTGGCCAACCCTGATGTCAAGGTGCTTACTCCGGCCTTGCGAACTGTGGGCAATATCGTCACCGGAAACGACCTGCAGGTACAAACAAGTGTAAAACATTGCTCTAATTGTAGAAATATGTATCCAACCATGTGTTATAAGAAAAAAAAAATTACAAGGTTGTTGTGTGTTACTTTGATATTGCACAATTTAAAAAAAAAAAACTGTCATAGGTTGATTCCTTTGTTGTACATTCTATATCTACAACAAACTGAATGTTGTTTTCAGTTATAATTTATTGCATCATTAAAAGTTGGTTTACAATCGTTGATTCCAAATAAACTAATGACTTCCAATTTGTTCAAAATTATTTTTCCCCTGTTGCACCCAAAAAAAGAATAAAAAAACTCTTTCAGAGAAAATATAGACATAGAAATGTTTAGGAATGATTTTAAGAAAAATACATACTATTGTGCTTCAAGTTAAACAAAAAATAACTGATATGGAAATAGATGTTTATGTTAGTTTTATTTGTATTTAGGCTTGTCTGTGCATTGAGGGGAGGACATTTAATACTTTAATACATTTAATAGGACACAAATAACAATAAGACTGCTATTTCCAAAATCATAGTTACAGTTTGGGTTAGTTGTTTGTAGTACTCTCTGTAATTATGGTAACTTTACTGGACATGTTGTATTGCCAACAGACAGACTCCATCATCCAGGGAGGGGGACTGCACCACCTGGGGATGTTACTGCAGAACAATCGTCCCAACATTGTCAAGGAAGCTGCATGGACTGTGTCCAACATCACAGCAGGCAATGTGGATCAGATACAAGAAGTGATCAATGCAGGCATCATCCCACCTCTCATCCATATACTCAAGACTGGGGACTACAAGTCTCAGAAGGAGGCAGCTTGGGCTGTGACCAACTACACCAGTGGAGGGTCTGTAGAGCAAATAGCCATGTTGGTACAGATGGACACTCTCTCTGGAATGTGTGACCTACTGAGTAGCAAGGACTCCAAGACTATCAACGTAGCTCTGGACGGCATTGCCAACATACTGTCTGTAAGTTGCACCCCAGCAATGTTGGATTGATACTTTTATTTTCACTGTTTCTCATTTATTTGACTAAATTTATATTTCTTCCTAGAATGTGATTCATACGGAAAGTAAGTTGTTATGAAATAAAATAATAACGATCACAGATAAAGCAAAGACATTTTTTTTTACTACAACTCTTACAGTATTTTCCAACACAACTCCCATGGTTTTCGAGGCATTTGTCATAGCATAGCACAAGTTTGAGTATATCCTCCTCTTATAATGTTGCTGCCACAGTGTGTAGTTCACAACTAGGTAACATGTTCTATCAGCTTTTCATAGCTTTTTAACCGCTGACTGCTAAGAAAGACTTTGGATAGGGAAACAAATAAAAATTGCTCAGAACGGGGTTGGGGCTGTTACGGGGGATGGTCAAACAAGTGCCAGCCAAAGCCTGAGCGTCTCGCAATAAACATCTTTACTGATTGTTTGGTCTCGAGGCAAAAATTCAATGAGCAAAATGCCGTTTCTCTCACAGAAAACAGTGCACATGACCTTTTGAGGTGTCAATATTTGCTTGGTTTTGACTTTTAACGGGGACGTAGTGTGCCTCCATTCCATTGACTGACGTTTGGTTTCAGGTAATAACATAAGCAACATAAGTTTTGTCTCCTGTGACCATCTGCAATAAAAATGTATCGCCATCCTCGTCATAACCAAACAAGAACAAGTGCCCTGCTCATTTGGTGTTTTTTTCCTTTCAGAAAGGATTTTAGGCACCCAACGTGCGCAAAGTTTACAAAAATCCAGTTTATTTAGTTACGATCTTGTAAATTACTGTTGGTGAAACTTAGAAATTCACTTACAAGATTACAAGAGCACTAATCGTAAACTTTTAATCTTCTCATCAATATTGCATGATTAAATCATTTCATCGTTCACCATAGGTGGACATCCACTTCATTCCTCATCATGGACTGTATCTCGTTCCTCTTTGACCTTTCCTATCTTCTCGCTATAGAATCACTCATTACATTGTCTCCATAAACCTCACTGATTTGTCGGTGAATGTCAATTGCTTTAACATTTTTGCATTAAGAAATTATATCGCCGTACAATTGTTGGTGTTATCAATTAACGCAGCCATTTACAAAACAAGCGCTACGAAATGCACGGCAACAATAGAGAGTTCAAAATGGCGTCATTTCTTTACAGTTGACACAGAGTAACTACCGTGGTTGCGCTGAACTGTGATCGCAGCACTACAGCGAAGAATCGTGGAACAGAACTTACTTTCCGATCGTATCTATTTAGCAGGAGCGTCAATTTTCTTTTGCAATGTTTTTCAATAGTATGGCCAGACAAATTGTTCCACTCAATCGGTAGCTAGAATAGTAGTGAATGAAGTAACGAACACAACGTTGGCCCTTAAAATAATAGAAAAATCGGATTTCACAAATTGTATAAAAATCTTTGAATAAAACTTAGAACATTATGGTTTTTCTTAACTCTAAACAAAATGGAACAACCCCTAATGCTGTGAAAATTATGGTTGAAAAGCTATTGCAATTTTTATTATTTCCTCCATAAAATAGTTACCACCTACGTTTACTCATAGGAGTTGTTGACAAGCTAATGAGAGAAAGAATGTTTCAGTTTGCTGATACCTTATTTAAATTTTAGACTGTGTCCATAGTAGGGATGGACGAGATTGGATTTTTAGTTCGAGACGAGACGAGACGAGATTTTTTATTTCTCATAAAATTTCGGGACGAGATCGAGACGGGATTTCCCTTCTCATACACAACGGGAAATGCACGTTCAAAATTTTTACCTGATTTTGTAACATTGTTAGATGACTGTTTAAATACAAAAATAATGATAATAGGCAAGAATATTTACAATATTTTAATAAAAAACATCAGCATAACATTTTTTTATTAATCACGCCTAACTTATTAAAAATGCCTACGATTAGGAAACATAGTGATATCAGTTAGGATAGAGTTCAACTTATCCCAAAATAAAATAAATCATAAAATAAAAGCAATATTAATTTTTGTAAAATAGTTACTTGTTTTGACTTTTTACAGTAATAAAACATTCCTTACACTGCTTACACTTAACAAAACTTCTCAAATGTTATTAAAGTAATATTATTCAAATAAAAAGTAATATTTACATTTAAAGAATTAATTAAATAAGAACGCCTTCGCAAAGGAAACGCAACTACAACACACTCCTGTATTGCGGGTATTGCATTGACTTTCTGCAGGCGTTTTTAATTTTTTTTTTTTTTTTTTTTTTTTAATTCTCGTCTCGATAAAAATCTCGGCCAAAAAGAAATCTCGTCTCGTGTAACGAGATTTAAAATTTCCTGAAAATTTCCCGAAATTTCGAGACTTGACCATCCCTAGTCCATAGTGTATAGTGACACTCATATCCAACCCACACTCTGGGTTTCCTGACAAAACGAAGCATGATCAGTAACCTCTTTGTGTTTCTAGGCAGCTGAGAAGATGAACGAAGTGACCTCTGTTGCTGTGGCTATAGAAGAGTGTGGTGGGTTGGACAAGCTGGAGGCTCTGCAGACTCATGAAAATGAACAAATTTATCTGAAAGTTCTACAGATCATTGACAACTACTTTTCTAGTGTAAGTGAACCAAAAACACTTTTCTTGGGACCACTGTAGGCCTACGTTTTAAGTTCCCAGAAGCCAAAAAGTAAGCACGCTGTCATAAAAATTCTCCAATTATGACAGACATTTAGGTAACCTAAAACAAGTAAAGCATAATATGTATATTTGGATGAGGTCAAGGATCTAACAGAGCTCAAGGGCTTAGGTTTTTTAGTGAGGATAGCAGGCGTACAGGAAAGTCCTAACTGCTGAAAGAAAATATTTCCAAATGAGTGAATAGGTCAAACTGGGATAGTATAATGTGTAGGTACAAATGTTCTGTGCAAAGTTTTTTTTTCATTGTGTGAGTTGGACTATTTTCCAGGGCTGTGCGAATCCAGAAATTTTGGTTCGAATCCGAATCATAGCTGTACAGATTTTATCGAATCCGAATATTTTAATTAATCCCGAGTCGAATCTGGGTCGAATCCGAATCTCAAATTTACAGCCATTATCGAACCTGGATCGAATCCGAATCTGAAATTTAAAACTGTTATCGAATCCGATTATTTAAACGTGTTCAGAGTCGAATCCAAATCCGAGGAAAGTCAGCAGTACCAATTTTCACATTTTTAGACCACATTTTCTGGGGCTGAAATAACTTAGGGAATTGCTTTAAAAAATTCTTTAAATGGGCCAAATAAAAAAGTTATAAAATTTAGGCCTACCTATTTGAAGTTTTGAAACTAAAAAGTTGGGCATAAGTTAGGCATACCACCTAGGCCTAAGTTACTCGCTAAAAGTGATGGACTACCAATTTGTGTAGTCTAAAACATTGGCCCAGCCTATTATACACCTCGGTGTTAATCCTCCACACAAGCCTATGTCTGCATTACTATTACAAGTAACAACTAACACTGTGAGGTTAAGTTTACTGATAGCCAAGATAGGGTTCAAATACGACCTACACTAATGTGCCTAAAGCCTAACACCAAGTTGGTCAGGTTCCTAACATGAACCAGTCAACAGCAAATCGGAGTGCACAAGTAGTTTTTTAGTGTCTAAAAAATTATATTCAATCAGAATCTAGTAAATTTGAATATCGAATCCCAACTCGGATCTATTTCCAAGAAATTCGAATATCGAATCCGAACCCGGATCTCTTACCAGTAAATTCGAATATCGAATCCGAATCCAGTTAGAAACAGTAGATTCGTTCTCGAATCCGAATCGAATCTCTTTAAAGATTCGGATTCGATTCGTTTTTCGAACTATTCGCACAGCCCTGCTATTTTCCATTCAGTTGAGCCTACTAGTATCTTCACGAAGAAATCTATTTGTAGGGGTTTACGAACCCTCCCAATTTATCATAGCAGTAGAGAGAGAGAGTTTGCACCACTAAAGTCTTTATTGCCATTTAAATTAGCTTAAAATGACATACACAATTAAGTACAGCAGAACTACCCAAATCAATTGAAATTTGGATGGTTTAAATAGGCTGGGTCAATCCCCGCTTTTAATATCGCGATCGCAGAACGCATCTGCGAAGATTTAACTATTGCAAAATTTATGCTTTCGCCGCTGTTGCGGAGGATGATGATTTTCCATGACCGCAGGAGACGACGGTGATATCACGATCACAACCGGAAGAGATAATCTAGATTTTGCCACATCAAATGAGGCAATGATGTCTGCAAGACAGAGTAAGATGTTCAGGATTTTAGTGCAATCACGGTTTCTGCCTTTTTTTAAATTAATAACGATTTTTAATACGGTCGTTTTTAAAATACTTTCTATAGGCCTTAGTGATTCGGATAGTCAGCAAATCGGATATTTGGAGTTAGAAGTTAGAGTCCTACATATGTTAGTTCCACACCTATGGTCACCAAGATACAGACACCAGTCATTCAGTAAGAACGACACTTACGTGCTAAGTGCTGCCGTGACTAGGCCTTGTCTTAGATCAGTGGAAATTTCCTTTTCTTACGAATCTTCCCAAAATCCAATAAAAAGCAAGTGGAAGTTAAGTCTTCAAGTTTGCTGTAACAGTTTTATTTGCTTTAAAATAACTCATCAATTTTACTTTTCAGGAGGAAGAGGATCCTAACATGGCTCCTACCACTACTGAAAATGGAATTGAGTTTAATGCTCAACAAAATGTGCCTCAAGGTGGATTCAATTTTTAGCAATATGATTTGAAGACTGAACCTCGCTCACATTATATTTAAGGGAATAAATTTTACATGCCATATTACCGGTATATCATCAAAATGTATTATCCTACTTGATTTTTTATGAGCGTAATCAATTTTTATTGTTTTTTATTCTTGTTGATTTTGATATTGTCTCTAAGATAATTTTATATGTGTACTATGATTGTCAGCTCAAACGCATTCGATCTCGAATTGTGATCTCAGTCCTATGGACTGCCTTCCGGTCTCTATCTCATTTGTATATTTTGATAGGGTGCGTTAAGAAATAAGCTGGAATTTTAATAAAAATCGTTTGTATTAATTATGTTGTTTATCCATTCATTTACATTCCTCTACTTGGACACTCAACAGGAGATATTGGGTGGTAACAGAACTGGTTAACTAAAGAATCCACTAGTATTGTCAAGTAGAGTATCGGAGAGCTACAGTAGAGAGTCAAAAATCTTAATGAAAAAAAACTGAAACGTCAAAAATCCGAATCGCTCCAGAGGGTTTAAAAATATTGAATTAGTACAGAGATAACAGAGTTTTACAATTTCACGTCCCAACCAGTCGGCGCCTGGCAGGGAAATGAGGGACGCGTTGCAGAAAGTCAACAGTCCCGGAAGGTCAAATAATTTATACCTGTGCCGCTAGGTCAAAAACTACAATGTTTGCAGTGTCTGTAGATCAAAAATCCCAGTAAGTCAAATAATACAGTCCGGACTAAAAATGGGACGCGTTGCAGAAAGTCAACAGTGCCGGAAGGTCAAATAATTTATACTTGTGCCGATAGGTCAAAAACTACAATGTTTGCTTGCACAGTGTCTGTAGATCAAAAATCCCAGTAAGTCAAATAATACAGTCCGTGCTAAAAACGTAGTCTATGTTAAAGCGATTGACACATTGGGAATTTGACCTAATGCAACAGCTGTTTTAATATAACGAAATACGATAAAATATAAGTTCAGTTTCGCTGAGTCAACAGTGCCGGAAGGTCAAAAGTATATTCTGTTAAAAACAATGATAGTCCTCTCGACGCATGACTTCAATAATTTCGTGTTTTGGTGTACTTTAAGTTGTACCATAGAATAAATAAACACCATTTATATTACTTCATCTATGGTTGTACTAAAATTTTGAAAATTGGCACAGAGCTTCTTTGTTAGTCCTACTCGATGACTATTTTGTTGATACTTCCAACTATACCGATCTAATTAATAAAAATTTATATGTATGGTGAAATAGTTTTAAATCGTGATTTGTAACATGAAAAAGTTAGCATGCGAGAATTTTTTTTTTTGGGTTAGAGAGGTTTTGTCTGTGGCAAAGTTGTTGCCAAAATTTTGATGCGTAAAATATATATTTTTTTAAATTTTTTACTATCAGTGGTTCAATAGATAACTTGGGTTGAAGAGGACGGCAAATTTAGCATTTCGCAACGCATGGAAAGAAACTAAATCGTACGATGCGCCTACTGAGTGGACTTTTACGTTACAGTTCTAAAGACAAGAACAAGATGAATATACAAATCACCAGTACATTCATATTAGACCTACAGTAGAACCCCTCATATCCGGCCACCACGGGACCAAGTCCCTGACCGGATAACAATTTGGCCGGATAAACCAACCTACTATGAAAATGACAATTCATACCTAATAATAATAGGTAATCAATATATGCAATCAAAAGTATAATTTAATTCTGTTCTGGGATAATTTTTATAAAAATAAACATGTTTGTAAAAAGAAAAAAAAATATTTGTAGGTTAAAGTCATTAAGTAATGAATGTACAAATATTATGATTCCAGGTAACAAAACCTATTAAATGGAGGTAAAAATTACAATAAATTGTACTTAAAGATCATTAGGACTTAAATGGTACACGCATTTCTACTCAACATTCTTAACCATTTTTGAAATACAAAAATTAATGTACTCGTACTGTACTGTATTAACCACGAAATGATCAACCAACTGATAAGAGGTTAGGCCTACTAGCTAAACTGAGTATAGTGACTCAGCAATCTATCTTCTATACTATTATAAAAAAGATGTGGTTGCTGTATGTGTGTATGGGAAAAGTAAACTCGAAAAATACTGGTCGGATTGGGCTGAAATTTGGCATGATGATAGCTCACATTCCCGATTAACATATAGGCATATTCTTATTTCAAAAATCCTTTCGGGCTCCGCCCCAGTGGCTCTGGAGTTTCCCATGTTAACCTTATGAGAAATGGAATTATTGAATATTAACAGCTGTTTCAATTAAACAAGTTGGTTCTGTTCTATGATGTTCAATAGCATTAAAGGTACAAGGATTACCAACAGGGTGCAGCACTATTATTTCTTTTACATTTATGACAACAGCTAATTTGCAACCAAAAGGTGAGTGAGCGTAGCGAACGAACTTCAACCTGGAGGCGAGTTAGCGTAGCAAACGAGCTAACCTGAAGGCAAGTGAGCGCAGCGAACGAGCTCCAACCTAAAGGTGAGTGAGCGTAGCGAACGAGCTCCAACCTAAAGGTGAGGGAGCGTAGCGAACGAGCTCCAACCTAAAGGTGAGTGAGCGTAGTGAACGAGTTCCAACCTAAAGGTGAGTGAGCGTAGCGAACGAGCTCCAACCTAAAGGTGAGTGAGCGTAGCGAACAAACTTCAACCAGGACGTGATTGAGCCATGCGAACGAGATAATCTTGAAAATTAAGAAGTTAAACGGGGCAAAGCGGGTTACAGCTAGTAAATGTATAAAGAAACAGATAAATAATGAGAACAATTTATTTTATGACTTCAGCAGTCACAAAGACTAGTGCTTGCATCTAAACGTCTGTAAGCTGTAAGAAAAAAATTTTGATATTGGCTTCTTGGAAGGGGCCGGATAAACAGAAGACCGGTAAAACCAAGGCCGGATATGAGGGGTTCTACTGTATTTATAAAACTCCTTTACCAGCTTACATTTTTAACTTAAATTAATAAGAATACATCATATACAGGGTGTTAAAAAAAGTGAGGACATATTTTACCTAGTGATTCCTTGGGTCAAAATAAACAGAAAATCAAGAATAACATGTTTTCCAAAATCGCTTTGTTAACCAGATATCCGCCTTAACCTTTATAAAAAAAGATTCATCTCGATTCACCTTAAAATCTTAAAATTTAACACTTAACTACAACATAATATATTTTACTACACCATAATATTTACGTATCACCATAAATCTTTAATAAAATAAAACGTTCACATTTTTAAAATCCAAAGTAATTCAATATAATCTTTCTTTTTTGAAAAATAAAGTTAAAAAAAAAATTAAGGAGATGTTAAAATAACAACAGGCGAGTTTCGATCTGGGTGTTTCAGGTTTGAACCTAGGAGGATTTAACATTAATGTTTAATCCTCCTAGGTTTGAACTGATTGAGAGGAATACATGAAACCGAAGGGGGAAGGGATCACAAGTGCACTAGTATTTACTATAGTAATACCAGAAACAAAAGAACCCTGGGCCGTTTCGAGCCGCACAGGTTTGAATGGTACGCCGCACCTACCGGCGCGAACCACGTGATCTTTTCGTTTCTGCGCAGGTTGTTTTGTTCGTGGTATGTCTATAGTGTTCAATTGCAATTTGATGGATTTAACCAAAACCTTTTCTATTTCACTTCTTTTCAGCTGTTAAATTTCAAACAATACGTTTTAGCAGCTACATCATTAACATTATTTTATTATCATCATCATCGTTTGAGTTTGGGTTTGCAGCAATCGTTTTCACATGAACAGCGGTTACCGGGTATATAAGGAATGGTAATAATGGATAGTAAATTTATTAAGAAAAACAGTATGTTTTTTAATGAGAATTGCCCATAATATCACGTTTCACAAAATAAGGTTGTCTAATTTTCTTTATAAAACTCAAAATGTTCAGGCAGTAAAAAACTTCACCATTTTTTCTAAGCCTATAAGTAGTAATATAAAAGAACATTTAAACTAAATTATTTGAACAGTTTAACCAAACCAAGCCACCTTGAAAAATAACTGTTAAATATGGGACTTAGTTTCCACAATTTAATTAAATTATTGTATTTCAGTCACCAACAATGGATGAGGTAATCGTTGAAACAGCTAAATCAATGAATAAATAACTCAAGTCAACCTGTTGATTAGGAACGATTCACGTTCACATTAGGAACGAATGACGTACAATATTTTACGCCATACTACTCTCACTAAAAAATCCTTATATACAGGGCTTGATTTGTGGGGTACCGTGGCGGAATGGAGTTCCGATACCTCTCTTTTGGAAAGATAAAAATATTGTCATAAATAGGTACTTATCACATTAAAAAGCTTACAGTTCCGGCACCTCATTTATTACAAATCGAGCACTGCTTGTATATACCCATCGACTAAAGGACTAACAATTACAACTCATAGTAATTTTACCCGGTAGCTCCCAATTTTATTAGTCCTCCACTGTCTCATGAGCAATTAATAACTAATGTAAAGGATAACTAAGAAAGGTTATGTTATTGTTTATAACCACTCATTGCCAAATTGTTGTCCGGTAAAAACTCATTACAGTACAGTAGTAACAAAATGAAACCCCAGATGGCGGCAAACAGCTGTTTTCTGGACTAAATCTAAGTAAATCTAAATCTAAAGTAACACAAACTCTTGATTGCTTGGCAGTTGCCATCAACCATAATTTTAGTTCACAAACTATCCAGAATCTAAATCTGTATTTAAATCTCATAATATTGGGCAATGTACTTTCCCATTATGAACATCCAGTTAAAATGTTCACTGTTATCACTATTGTGACACCAACGCTCTCAAAATATTTTAAACCGTGATGGGGTGGGAGGTGGGTGTTGAGTTATACAAAACCATAGGTTTAAGAATATATTGAACATCACATAGGTCTACAACAGTTATAAAACAATCACACATTGGTATTACATTATGCAGATTTGATATCTACTTCTTCAATATCCATTTCATTATCTGATTCATGTATTTCTTCGACAATAGCTTCTTCCATCTTTTGTTTCTCTTTCCCTGTAAACAAAGAAAAATGTCAAATCACATTCTAAAACCTTAAAGAATACGTACCACATGGGTAACAGCAAGATTAAAAAAAAAAATCGACCCAGTTATTTTTTTTCTTTTTTTTTAGTTTAAAGACATTTTTTGTTTGTTTACCCAATAGTTCTTTCTCTCTCTCTGAGGACTCTCTAAAAAATTATCAATCTTGGTTTTTGATGGATGGCCACATCATTGAACTGGTAAAAATAATGACGGAAGTTTCAGATACATTTTAGTATCTTTGGGTCAAGCTACAATTCAAATACCTTGTTGCTTGTTACCAGTGTTGGGAAGTAGCGCGCTGCAAGTAGCGACGCTACAGTAGCACGCTACTTTTTTTTAGCCGTAGCTATGCTACTTTTAAGATTTTGTAGCTTTAGCTGTAGCTACATTTTAAGTAGTTGTAGCGGAACTTTGGCTACTTTTCTCGCTACATTAACATTGATTGAGATAGTGAATTTTATCACAACCTTACTTAAAACGGTCTTGTTCAAACTGAAATTTTCAAGAAAACTAGGCCTAACTACTTTCTTGGCTTCATACAGAACCATACAAACACACTTGGATATACTACATTATTTGTTTTTTTAAGCTCTTTAAAAGAGTCTGGAGAAATATTGAAAAATGTTGTGTTTTAACCCTTTGAGTGCCACGCAACGATATATCGTATTGCACAACACATCTGAAAAATACTTCACAACGATATATCGTCGTCGGTAGTCTTACCAAAGAATACATTGCAACGATATATCGGGCCGGCGCAACTTTCGATCATACGAGTTTTAATGTATATGTCTGACTTAATGTATGTCTGACTTAAAACTCTGGCACTTTTCGGAAAGTACCAAAATAAATTGCTGGAACCCAAAGGGTTAGGGGTAAAAAATGAGAAAAACCCATTTTTACCCCATAAAACCCCCCCCGTTAAACCCTGTTCCCATGGCCCGATCATGCTGGTTCGCGAACTCATTCAAGTTTATCCCGCCTTACACCTTCAACCAAAATTTTATCAAAATCGGACAAAAATTACTCAAGTTATCGTCTGGACGGACACATATATGTATAATTACAAGCAGTTACCGATCTTTATATATTTTCACTTTTTAGGTGTATGAAGATAAGTGATGGTCGGATCCGGATATCGGACTACCGGATCCGCCGGATCTGAGCTAGAACCGACGCCCGATTGGATCCACAAAAAATCGGATCTTGGGCTGGATCCGGTTTTAATGGAACCGATTTTTTTTATACCATTAACACAAAACGGGCGAGTATTCGAGATTTCGAGTTTGAGCAGAGTACGGCCGAGCTTATCTTTGAACTCGCCAGTTTGGTTTAAAATTGTAAAAAATCAATATTTGTTGAAATGTAACTTGTGTTTACATAAAATGATGGATAATTTGTATTACTGTAGATTCTACAGTAATACAAATATAGAAATAAGCAAGAGGTACTTGTCCTAACCTATTTTTATAGTTGTCACGACAGAATAGGTAAACTCAAAGCAGTCGCCGGCGACTGACTGGCAATGGTATACTGACTTGACACAGAATAGAATGACATGATCGGTAGTGATTTTGTTTTAAAGTAGGCCTACTGTTTCACAATAGAAAATTCCACTACTGAATTGTTACGTAAGCAATACATTTATGTTTATAAAAGTCAGAATAGGAACACTAAAGGCAAAACAATAGAAGGGAGGGAGGGGTTGTGCAATGACCTCGAAATGAGCGGAATAGCAACATTGAGTAGGCGGTTGACGGGGGGGGGAAGGGAAGGGTGAGACCCTTGAGCTATGCTATATTTAGACTAGACTTTCACCACTTCCCAAATGGCTGGGTACGGGGATTACAATAGCAGGTTTTTCCCTTGCCTGGTTTGACTTTTGTCTTTTTGTGTAGGAGATTTGAATAATCAAAAATATAATTTGAATTGACTACAATTATTTAGCATTGATAATACAATTTGCAAGGGGCCAGAAGGAAATAGAGCAAAACACTGAAATTAATAGAATAACACACAAAGTAAACAATAAATGAAATACAGAACACAATGATTTAACACTGTCACTCAATTTTGTTGTCTAGAAGGGTCGGTGAACTAATCAATAAATAGCCAAAACCAGTTTCCTCCTCTTCACACAATCTCACCACCACCCCTCCCCCCCTAAGCCGGGATGCCCAACACTTTGTCCTTGAAACACCCTAGCCTCTGAAACAATAAACCCTTACACCCGCGTTGCTGTTTTGACAACATGTTTATGAATGCGTTCACTATTTTTCATTTTCCAGAATTAACCATCAATTATTATTATTTGCAAGTTACAAATAGGAAACTACATGACACTTTGTCCTTGAAACACCCTAGCCTCTGAAACAATAAACCCTTACACCCGCGTTGCTGTTTTGACAACAGGTTTATGAATGTGTTCACTATTTTTCATTTTCCAGAATTAACTATCAATTATTATTATTTCCAAGTTACAAATAGGAAACTACATGACATTATGGTATTCAATGACCCATGTATTATAAAAAATTAATAATTCATTACTTATTTTGATAATAAAAAGCATTAAAAAGCATAAAAAGCATAATTACAGCACGCAGCACTTGATATATATATAAAATCATCAAAGTAACTGTTACTTTATACAAAATAAAATAGGTAAAAAATTGTGTGGCCAGTCAAACTTTATAAACAAACATTTTATTCTATAAAATACAGATGGTAAATAGGGGTTAGTTTAAAGGAAATAAAATACAAAACAGATTAATTAATTATTTTGATAAACGATAGAAAGGTTATGGGATTGATTGCACTAAAATAACCGCAGGGAAACTTATAAGTAGAAAAGTCGTCAACCACAATCTGTTTAATCAGTACATCGTTAGAGAGAGAGGGGGGAGAGAGAGAGATAGCAGATAGGGGCGTTTGATAGGGAATCTGAAAAAGTAAACAAACCAGGAACAACGACGCGACAATACTCGTTTATAGCCTTATTGTCTCGCCCACTACATTTGCACACGTGACCAATTTTTGTTTCTTCCTTATCTTTCATCCATCCCAAAATGGAATTCCTGAAATAGTTTGTTGGTATAATCTCCCCTCCCACACAAGGCGCAGTGCTCAGTGCGCACTGTAGGTTGTCACGTCTGTCGTCATAGCGACTAGCCAATCACGCACTCGCACTGCGTTGTAGATTACGATACGAAAAGCTGTGTCAGAAAGACAACGCAATAGGTGGTAGTTTGTCTCTTGTATCTCCTCAAAATTACGATCGATAATCAGATAATCATTAGGCAACGTAGAATTGTGATAACTTTGTTTTCAATAACGACACATATTAAGTGTTTTTATATGGACACAGTTAGTCTTTGACATTGCCTAGCCATATGAATTATTTTATTTAAAAAACCCAAATATAAAAGGTTTAATTTACCTGTTACGTCAATTGATCCTTAAGTTATGAAATAACTACGGCCATTTCGTACTGCTAAACGAGTACATCTTCAGGTTGTCTACGAACGTTAAAATACGGCCTTCTCATCCGTGGGTGGAGTCGTCAGCACATTTAGGACACATAACACGAACACATAACGAAACATTAAAATATTTACAATTAAAAACTTGGCCAAGTAGTCCGAACACAAGAGTTGTGTAACCAGTAACGTTAGATGATGAGTCATGACTCATCACTAACTCTCGTGTTCGGACTACTTGGCCAAGTTTTTAATTGTAAATATTTTAATGTTTCGTTATGTGTTCGTGTTATGAGTCCTAAATGTGCTGACGACTCCACCCACGGATGAGAAGGCCCTATTTTAACGTTCGTAGACAACCTGAAGATGTACTCGTTTAGCAGTACGAAACGGCCGTAGTTATTTCATAACTTAAGGATCAATTGACGCAACAGGTAAATTAAACCTTTTATATTTGCATTACCTTGATCCAGAGGCTAACCCATCATGAAATTAAAAAACCCGCCCTTGAAAAAAGAAAATATTTTTTCAAGATCCGGATCCGGTACCGACATTTTCTTGGATCCGCCCATCACTAATAAAGATATAAGTTTTTACTTTGATAAAGGTTTTTACTTTTTATGTTTACAGTAGTACTTTTTATGTTATGTATACAGTAGGGCAGAAATTAAACGTTGTTGAGTGCACAGGTGTACTACAATCGGGGTTTAATATATTTGGACTTATCTAAAAGTAAACTAGTTTTCTGATGAAATATTGTGGCACTATTCCAAATCACGACTAATACAGATTATTCAAACCAACAGTTGGTGAAAGTAAACATCTGCTTTTAAATTAGTCTTGTATTTTAAATTATTGTCCATATGTTTGAAAATGTCTTTCATAAAAATGTGCAATTGATTTCCACAGCGGTCCACTTTTGTGTTTACAATATCCTACTTCCATAAACTTAATATGGGATCTCTTTTGGGCCTCTGGGGAGGAACCCAGTTGAGCTCAGTTAAAATGGATGTGTTACAAACCTTCTCCATAAAATTTTACCCCTATGCACTAAGTTTCATGGCAATCGGTCCAACGGTGTCCGAGCTCACAACGTTCAAATGTATATATGTATACAAAAACCTCTTTTAGAAACATAGATATAACATATATATATATATATATATACATATATAACAATTTGAACGAATAGGGTTTTTGGCCCCTGGGGACATAAGTAAATCGGTCTCGGACCTAGAGACCTACGTTAATAGCTTCCCTAAAGGGAAATTCGCTAAAATCCTTTGCAAAAATTCAATGTTAACAAATAGCTATCTGTGTATTAAGAGCGCAAAGTATGTCATTGCCACTCTTTAAGAGAACTGTAAATGGCTGCAAGAAACTTTAACTGAGTGCGGTCATACATTTCGAGAGTGGCAATGACTGTTTGTGCTTGTATTACACAGAAGATTTCTGGGTAGCTGAGTGCTAGCCTAACAATCGAAAGGTCCCTGTTAAATCATAAAATGCTCAGGACAAAAAGGTAATAAAATATTTGGCATAGCTTATACAGGGCGTTTGCAAAAGAACGCTGGGATTTTAACCGCACACGCGGAGGTATGACATACGATAATTTTGTCATAATTTTATGGTGGCAAGCCTGGTGACCATAACAGTAGCTGCCTAAAATAGAATATGCCATCATCTGGCCGCAGAGTTGTTAGTTTTGATCGAGTCATTGACATTTTATCACCACCGTGGGTCTGGCATACCCCCACGCGCATTCTTGTGTTACCGGTACTATGTTCATTGGGGGTCTCTAGTGTACCCCCTGTGGGCGTAATAGTGTCTCAGTTAGACTCCACTGATCCAGCCTCCCAGTGCAAATACTGTTACTCACAAGGCAGTAAATATACATAAAAGATGGTAAGTGGTGATCGATTTCAATTGGACACTCCAATCATCATCAGACCCAATAGGCAAATGACATAATCATGAATGGCGTCCCTACTTATATCCTATTGGCTACCGGAAGCACTGGCCAATACATTTTTATAATTACAACTGGAGTCGAAATTTACTTGTTCATTAATCAGCTTATTACTATTTTTACACTTTTCTTTATACAGTTCTTCCCAAGCATTCATTTCATATCCTTCTTTACAATTCTTTAAAATAAAGTCAAAGTCAAAGATTTTTATTGTCTTTAAACACATGTGTGCAATTGACAAAGTCACAAGCATTTAATGTATGTAAATAGCCTATTCTAAGTAAAAGGTACATTGAAAAATAGAATATTAATTTATAGATAAAAACAATAACAAAATATAAAAACACCAGGGAATGACATAACAAACAATTAATATAAAATCTAAACAATTATCCAATTTAAATTCCTAAAGTACTAATGTCACAAGCTAAAAATTCATCAACAGTATAAAAAATATGTTCTCTTAACCATATTTTAATCTTATTTTCAAACTGTTTTGAAGTTATATTCCACATGTTTTCTGGCAGTTTATTAAATAATTTAATTTTCATATAAACATGACTGTTTCTTGTTTTTTCCAACCTTACAGAGATTAAATTAAGAAGATAGTTTTTCCTCGTTTGATAGTCATGTATTTCTTTTTTAACAGACAATTTACAAATAGAATTCTTAACATCCATCAGGCAGCAATATATGTACAAATTTGGAAGAGTCATTATTTTAAGCTCTTTGAATAAAGGAACACATGACTCCCTATCTGAAACATTTGTAATGACTCTTACAGCTCTTTTTTACCACTTAAAAGCCTCTAATGCACTACACGAGTTGCCCCATAAAGTTATGCCATACTTTAAGTGAGAATGAAAAAAAGCATAATAGGCAGTTATCAGCATGTTTTTGGTTACACAATCTTTCAACTTTCTAAGAAGGTGAATACATAGACTATCCTCTATTTGTCTATTGCGCGGCCATTTTGTAACAGGTATTGTGCGACATTTCATCTTTCTGGTTTGTTGTTTCTCCACGCAGATATGTGGCTTTTGAAGCGGTAAACGAAGTTCACAGTCTGTGCAATGGAGAAGTTATCACAATCTGTGACATATCTGGTATTTTCCTCTTTCATCTCTTCTAATGTTGTTCTGCTGTGTAGTTTATTGTAGCTATTGATTTTCTCCTTGTCTTTCTTGTGATGTCTTCTATTGTCTTGGTTTGAAATCCATTTCCGTAAATATTGATTGAAAAGATCTTTTATAAGCAGATTGAGTACTTCCAGAAGATACTTATTATTTAATAAGTCAAATAAAATATATTAATCTAAAATTGTTGGGAGGAATTCACTGCGTTTTTAGTGTATACTCCTGTAATACATAGTAACTGCTCGATTTTGAGCAACGGGTTTACTAGTATAACTTTAACCATCAATTAAATAAATTAAATGAGTAACAAAATATAGAAGACCACCAAGCTGGATTTATCCAATCCAAGGTCGCTCCACAACGGACCAGATATTTACTATCAAACAATCTCTTTTGAAATATTGGGAATATAATAAAGAAGTCCACCTACTGTTCATTGATTTTCAAAAAGCATATGCTAGTGTACTTAGGAAGAAAATGTATGAAAAAATGTAAATGTTTGGCATTCCTGACAAACTTATTGACCTGACAAGAAAGTGTATTAAAAAATCACGCTGCAAAGTGAAAATAAATGGAGAATATACTTCAAGTTTTGAAGTAACAACAGGAGTGCGTCAAGGAGATGGCCTTTCGCCCCTCCTTTTTAATTCAGTGATTGAAGATGAACTCAAAAAGACTAAACAGTTAGCAGCAGGAATTAATATTGGAACAAAAATTAATGTGCTAGTGTTTGCTGACGATGTGGCACTTCTTGCAGAAAACAGAAAGGATCTAGAGAGCTTAACAAAAGCCCTAATAAAAGAAGCCAACCATGTTGGGCTAACAATAAACAATCAAAAAACTAAATATATGAATGTGGCTAGAACCGAAGGAGTAGCCCGGAAAGAGAATTTTAAAGTGGATGATTTTGAGTTTGAGCATGTGGATGAGTTTAAGTACCTCGGCATAACAATAACACATGATAACAAAGAGAAAAAAGAAATCCAAAATAGAGTAATTGTAGCCTCAGCAACCTACTGGTCCCTAGTCAATATGCTCAAGTAAAAAACTCTGTCCAAAAGTACCAAAATTAAAATCTACCACTCCATCATTCTTCTAGTACTACTATATGGATCGTAAACATGGTCACTAACAAAAGAATGGGAAAAGAAACTTATTATTTTTGAAAACAAGATTCTGAGAAAATTATACGGACCAATTCAAGATGAAGAAGGCTGGAGAATTAGGAAGAATAGAGAATTGAGAGATGTGTATCACCATCCAGATGTAGTAGCAAGGATAAAAAGCAGGAGACTGAGATGGGCTGAACATGTGTGGAGGAGAGAGAACTCATCATTAATTAAAGCTGTGGACCAGAACAAACCAGAAGGCAGAAGACCACTCGGCAGGCCGAGACTGCGATGGAGGAGTCAGGTACTGAAGGATGTGGCTGTATTGGGCACTACTCCTGAGGCTGCGGAGGATAGAGAAGAGTGGAGAGGCATCGTTGACGAGGCCAAAAACCTTCTGAGGTTTCAATGGACAAGGAGGTAAGGTAAGGTAAATGAGTAACAAATAATGACATTCCAGTTCTTTTAAATCAGTTTTAAACATTCTAGAGCTATTACAAAAACCTTATGATTTGGAAGGATACCTATTAAAACATTTGAGAATGGATATTTCTAATGTTCTACTGCCATATTGGTTGCCTGTGCTTAGGTAGGAGATAATAATTTCTTCTTACTCCATAGGCTATGGATAATTATTGGTTATTTTCAAATTGCTATCAAATAAATTATAAGTGTATATAAAAAACACAAACAATTTACTACAGACAACAGTCGAACAAAATGACAGATTTTTATTAAAGGCAAAATGTTTTATAGGTGATAGGTAAGCACAATGAAATTCAATAATTGATGGATTATCACAATCCTAAGAGGATTTGATTGATTGATGCAAGAGTGAATCTGCAAATACTTTAAGGATATTCATAAGGTTGTAGGGAAAATTACTAATCTTTTATGATTAGAGTTATTAAATAGTAAAAATATTCCTGCGTGTTGTAGCTTGTTATTCACTTTAAAGCTAAAATATTTTTTCGTAATGTAAATCTATATGAAGGTTAACTAGTTTTTATGACTTATTTTGACTTAGCCTATTTTTAACAATTGGAACAAAACTCTCATATGTATGTAAATAATATAATTACAACTATTTATCAAATGTTAATCATTCATACCTGCATGAGGAGCTCGGATGAGGGATAGATCCCGCTGCACTTCCCGAATGTCTCTACGGTCCTCGATCTCCTTGCCTTTCCTCAACCTCTCCATCATGTAGGCCGCCTGCCGCTTGTTCTTAATTGTTTCAACTTTCTTCATTGCTTCAACTACAACCAAAGTAAAAGTTACATAACTTGATAAATTGGAGATATCTAGCCTGAGTAAAACATTATAGATGTGTCAATACCAAAATTTATCAACAAAGATACCAATAGGCCTACCTAAAAAAATCTATTTTCAATAACCTATCTATGCCATTATTTTCAATATTTTTGTTGTATAGAATTTTCTAAATGGATTGGTTACACAACACCTAGCCCTGTCTTCATGTCCTTATACCAAGTAAATGTGAAACACCAGGGGTGTTTTTAAGTAAAGAAAAAAATAAAGATACAATGAAAATTCTAACCAACCAATTCAAATTAAACCCTTTTAAACACATGAAATAAATAGGTACCTACTACATCAATGGTAAATAAAGATTTTACAAACAAATATCAAAGAGGAATTTAAATTATAACACGAGTACCAGTAACATTATTTTTACAATAGGTGGCTACAAAAAAAAAAAAATAAATAAATAATAATAATAATATTATTAAAACAATAAGGATGTTTACAAAATATAGGCCTAGCACAAGGGCCTAGGTTTTTAAGATTTTTTGTAAGGATATCAGGCTTACCTGAATGGGCACAATAGACACAAATCTTTACCATTAAGGTAAGTTTGCTATCCTCACAAAAAATCCTAAAAATTCTAAAATGTTACTTATAGGAATAATAAATTGTCTCTGGGCTGTCACTGAGTCAAGTGAGTGTGTAGTAAAGTGGATTGAAGCGTGTCATTTTGTTTTTAATAGGCTACTAACAACACTAGAGTTTGCGCTTTTTCCTTACAAAAAACATTATTTTTATGCCAATGATTGTGTAGCCTACTATAAAAAACACGAACACAAAAATCCTACAACATGTGAAAGAAACATTTTAGACAATAAACAATACTGTAGGCCACAAATCATTAGTGCTAAATCATCACTTTAAACTCACTTGTTTTTTGCCATATTTCCCTGTCATACTTTAGAGGTACATTCCTTCTTTTTTCAAACTCAAAAGCAGGATCAACTGCAAGTTCTTTTCCCACAATTTTTCGATATGCTTTGGTCCATCTAACTTTCCTTGGGTTCTTCTTTTTCTTGAATGCTGCATGACACTTGGACCGGCAAAATTTGAAAATCTGAAAACAAACGTATTAAAAACATATTTTAAACGTATTAACAAACCCTAATATTTTAAAACAGTATTTGAACTATAAGGTAGGTACATGATAAGATCTAATGGGAAGGTTTTTGGTGTGCCTGAATAAGTTATTTTATTAAGCATAATATTAACTTACCTATGATATGATGATGTTATGTTAACTAGGCCTACATACTGGAAGCGTAAATAAGCTGTAGGCCTAATCCAATTGAGGCCGATAAGCTAACCCGTCACCTGTCAATGAATTTTTATTAGATGGACAGACGTTTTTCCTAGCAAAAAATCAAGACCTCAAAGGTTGTGCTTATTTATAAAGATACTAGCTGACCCGGCGAACTTCGTATCGCCTAAGTTATAGGTTTCCCCTAAGACAGACCGATGGAAAGAAAGTACCGTTACGTTTAATTTTCAAGATGATCTCGTTCGCATCGCTCAATCACGTCCTGGTTGAAGTTCGTTCGCTACGCTCACTCACCTTTGGGTTGGAGCTCGTTCGCTACGCTCACTCACCTTTAGGTTGGAGCTCGTTCGCTGCGCTCACTTGCCTTCAGGTTAGCTCGTTCGCTACGCTAACTCGCCTCCAGGTTGAAGTTCGTTCGCTACGCTCACTCACCTTTGGGTTGGAGCTCGTTCGCTACGCTCACTCACCTTTAGGTTGGAGCTCGTTCGCTGCGCTCACTTGCCTTCAGGTTAGCTTGTTCGCTACGCTAACTCGCCTCCAGGTTGAAGTTCGTTCGCTACGCTCACTCACCTTTTGGTTGCAAATTAGCTGTTGTCATAAATGTAAAAGAAATAATAGTGCTGCACCCTGTAGGTAATCCTTGTAACTTTAATGCTATTGAACATCATAGAACAGAACCAACTTGTTTAATTGAAACAGCTGTTAAGATTCATTAATTCCATTTCTCATAAGGTTAACATGGGAAACTCCAGAGCCACTGGGGCGGAGCCCTTTTAAGAATTTCGAAACGGGAAATAGTTTACGTCCGATTCGCATACCTACAGAATTTACACACCAAATTTCATAACGATCGGTGAAGTCGTTCCGGAGGAGTTTGCAGACAAACACTGTGACACGAGAATTTTATATATTAGATATGTTAATGTAAAAACCCTTGTCAGGACAGTAGTGGTGCAAAGTTATATTTGAAATTGCCCTCATAAGGTTGATATCCTTTTTGCATGACAAAAATAAGCTTAATAACCACCAGCATGATATTCGAAAGGTCCCACTGCTTTTGACATTCCTTCTAATGAGAATTTCTTTAAGTTGAGCACTTTAAATGAAATATAGTCAAAATTAATTTAATTGTGTAAATAATAAATAATGAAGTAAATAATACAACTGGGACGCTAAGTATGAGTTAAGGAAAGCGCGCCAATGTGGCAGCCTTCCCCCACAACCATGAGGGACCCAGCGGAGATTTGCCAATTCATCGAATAGTGCGCGAAGTTGTTAACTCACTCCTAGCCTTCAATAACACAGATTAAGTACAATAATCTTACTAATATTACAAATGTGAAAGTTTGTGTGTTTGTTTATTTGTTTGAAGTTCAATCACGCATTAACGACTGGACGGATTGGGCTGAAATTTGGCATGACGATAGCTCACATTCCCGATTAACATATAGGCATATTCTTTTCTCAAAAATCCTTTCGGGCTCCGCCCCAGTAGCTCTGCAGTTCCCCATGTTAACCTTATGAGTATCTATAATATTAAAACAAAACACTGTTCTTATATTTCACGATTCTGAATCACCCACTTGACCGATTTTCATGATTTTTGTGTTGAAAGAAAGATAATTTTGAGGACTAGGGAATGTCGAAGCCATAATTTTAGCTTAGGGTCCCAGTTTTTTAGAAATTAAGTTTTAATTTTCAAAAAGTCTAGCAGCCGACGGACGAGTTAAAGTCGTTTTAGTGGTGGTTTAACTAACAGCTGGTTTCTAACTGTCATTGAAATGTTTATGTTACAAGTTGTTTGTATACAAAAATATTGATCTTCAGAGTTTGCCTACACATTATTTTACTTTTACATGCTGTTTATTTTCTACCTTTAAAGATCTATGTTATCAGGAGATTGTGTAATTTTGAACTAAAGATTTTAAACGTATAATCAAGTTTTGTTATAAATGCAATCCGTCTAAGTACAGTGCTGAATCCTTTAAGATATAAGTGGTTTACGTGTTGATACATCTTTTTCTAGATGTTTGAACATAAGTGTGACTGCATACAGTACACATTTAATTCGTAAATGAAAATGTCAACCGGTGTAGTAGGTAGGTAGAAAACTGACCAGTAAGCTGCAGGGTGTCAGTAGAAATCAAAATCGATTCATACCATATCATAACTATCCCAGTAGGCCTAGTACTGTATGATTCAGAAACTTGATAAAGGGGTACATTCCAAAAGTAGACCAAAAGGCTCGGATCTCGGATGGGCTGGGCAGGCTTTGCATGGCGGAGAGAAGATACATTAACTTTTAAAAGTGTATTCCAAGGAGTACTAAAAGGTAGACGACCACTTGGAAGACCAAGAAATGAAAGACATCTTCAGACTGGTATCTTCCTGTCATCCAGAAATGGCAGGGGATAAAAGAGATCGGTAGGCCAGGATCATTTTAGAGGTTTCAGTGGCCAAGGTGGTAAAACAGGGTACGGTTAGTGATAGTAGGCCTATGCAGTGGAAGGTAGTATGTAGCTACTGTATTCAAAGCCAGTGTGTGTGAATCGGCCACCAAGTTGTAAACTAGCTGTTCTGAATCATATTCAGTTTTAATTGTCTACTGTATTCGATTCCCGTACGTAGGACGGGCCAACAGCTCGTTCATATTTAAAAGGAATTAAAGAATTTAGTCAGCTGTTTCAACTAAAAAAGTTAGTTCTATGATGAACAAAAGCATTAAAAAGTTATAAGATTTACCAACAGGGTGCAGCACTATTATTTTGAACTATAAGCAGCAACAAAAAACTGTGATACGCAATGAGAACTGTCAAAGTAGGATTGTTTACAGTTATGTTTATGTTTTTAATTTCATGAATAATTTGTGATATTTTGCAAACTTTTAATAATTTATCTTTCTTTATTGTTTAGGTGAAGTGGTAGAACATTATGGCTATGGTAGATGTGTAATACTATGGTATACCGTAAATTTAAAGAAGCAAATTTTATTTAACCGTGTCCTCCCCCATTGCAAATGCAAAGCTTGAGTATAACTGTAATAGGCGTTTTATACATATATGACAACACTGTACGAAGGACGGGTACTCTGCTAGTATACTTATCTATTCGGAATCTGCACTAAATGCAGAATGTAATGGTATAGGCCTAAATAAATTTTCTTTTAATTTGAATTAGAATTTCCATAGTTAAAAAGAGTCTTTCTACATATATCATGTATAGGGGAGAAAAGTAAAAATTATAACCTAAGCCAAGCCTACAAGAATTTGTTTGTGGTTCAATTAGGCTATAGGCCTAGTGATAGGCTATCTGTCAATTGATGAATGATAATGAATAATTTATTGTCGTTAAAACTAGGTACAAAGTTCATGACAATCTTCAAAAGAAAAACATAACAATCTAGACGGCTCTTGCATTAAAAATAAAATAACTAGGCTAAAATTCAAAACTAAAGTAGGCTACACTTCATGTTTTACAGACAAGCCTCGGTTAGAGTTAGTTTTCAAGACATGTTTGAATTTTAAAACACACAGGTTTTTGATGGAGGAGTGCAAGAAATTGTACATTTTGACACCTTGGTAGGCATAATGCAAACTATTTTGAGTGGCTGTATAATTAGGCCTATGCCTTAGTGTGGACGCTTGGTTTAAGATTTAGATTTTGGCCTAGACATTATTTGTGACAACTTTTATGAATTGTTTAAATATATCTTCGATGTAAGCTTTCCTGCCTTAACCTGTAAGAATAGAAATGAACCTAGCTCTTCTTGGATTGGTAATGAGGTTGTACACTCGCATGGGACACAAGGTCACAGGGTTGTTCAGAAGATGTTAAGAGGGCCTACAGAAGGGCCAAACGGCAGCATTCGTCTCTTGTTACTCAGACAAAAAAGTCTTATTTTAGTATAATAGAATTCTAAACTCAAAAAATACTAGTAAGGAGTCGTGGGCTGTGGTCCGTGCACTTTGTGATGAAGATTATGAAACACATACTAACTTAAGCTTGAAAATTGATAATGTTGTTGTGACAAACCCCCAAATCATTGTAGGTAATTCACTTGCGAGTTCTTTTTTTTGAGAAAATTTCTAGATTGGCAAAATGGCAATTGTGCTCCTGAGCTCCCTGTTGACTTAGGTGAGGGACGCTTTTTTCTCACACATACCTACTACTGTTGCTGAGGTGAGGGAGGTGGTAAATTCACTGGGATCCAAGAAAAGTTCAGGTGTTGATGAGATACCATGCAGCCTTCTCAAGCTTTGTAATGAAAATGTTATTGAAGCCCTCGCAAATTAAATAAATAAATCCTTTGAAACTGGCTGTTTTCCAACAAAGTTAAAAACATCTTTTAAAGTAGGCCTAGTACCTGTATATAAAAAGGCTGATCCACTTACTGTTAGTAATTATCGCCTGATTTCGGTGCAACCATGTATAGGAAAAGTATTTGAAATATTTTTTTTGAAGAGATTCCTTAGGTTTATAGAATTTAATAATATATTGACTGAGAGTCAGTTTGGGTTCCAAAAACATGTCTACATCTGATGTTGAATTTGCCCTCCTGAGGAACATCTATAACCACCTGGATCTTTCTGAGAGCCTTTTGATGCCTATTTTATGACATGACCAAGGCCTTTGACCTGCTAAACCATAGTGCCCTGCTTCGTAAACTACTTTCCCTGGGCATTGCAGGACCTCTGCATTGGATATTCTCTTATTTAAGAGACCGCCACTTGGTCGTATCACTCAAGCATTTGGGGAATGACAATACTCTACGCACATATAAGTCGGCTCCATCCCCTGCCATGAATGTGGGTGTTCCACAGGGATCAAACCTAGGGCCCCTATTGTTCTTGCTCTATATATTAATGACCTACCTCTGGCTCCATAACATCTGGAAATATGCGGCATTTTACTGACGATGTATATCACCTAATCTATAACTCTGATCGTGTCAGTCTTATTGAAGATACTCAATCTAGTTTAATTGAGATGCAAAACTGGTGTAACGAAAACTGCTTGATCTTGAACTCTGACAAGACAAACCTTATGAAATTTTACAATAGGAAAAAACCTGAACCAGCTCCTCAACTAGTGCTAGATGGGGTCGCACTCACTTCTCGTGAAAAAGTAGCCTAAAATATCTTAGCCTGCACATAACAGAGAATCTCAAGTGGGATGAACATATTAATTCAATAGCTTCAAGATTAATATCGTAATCAATTTACATTAATTACTAGGCTCCAGAAATTGGTCCAGACTGACATTTTGTTAAAAGTTTATTATGGATGTTTTCACAGTTGGTATAATATCTTATGGAATAGTGTTCTGGGGAGGTAGTACCATGGCCAATAGGATCTTTCTCCTCCAGAAGGAAACGAATTATTAGGAGAATGTGTGGTGCTCAACGTCTTGCTCACGGTAAGTTAGGCCCCTGTTCAAGGACCTTGGAATTTTAACTCTCCTATCACTATTTATATTAGAATCTGCCATATTGGTGAGGAATAATCCGGACATCTTTTTCACAAACAATCTGGTTCATCAGTTCAACACGAGAAGAGCTAATCAAGTACATGTACCGGTACCTCAAGTTAACTCAACTTTGGCCTGCAAGAGCCCATATTTAAGTAGTGTCAAGATCTACAACTCGCTACCAAGGAACATTATTCAAGAGCAAAATATCAATAAATTTAAGAAGATGTTAAAGGAATATTTATGTGAAGCGGCCTATTTTAAAGTAGAAGATCAATTAGGCCTATTATTGTGTTTTCTACCCATTTTGTCCACTTCGCAGGAGCGATGCTAGTGGGACATCATCAAGTAAGCTAGTTAAGGTTGTCATCTCCAAAAATTGAAATGTTATGATCAATTCTAGGTATTGCTAGAAATTACATAATATTAGTCCTAGTCTGCGGTAAATAAATGTAAAATCTAAGGATGCCATAGGCCTAGACCTACGTCTGGAGAAACCTACCTTGCAATCATTTCTCACAAATTGAATTCCATGACCTGGAAATATTCTCGATGAACAAAAATAACAGGCTTCAATTCTCATTTTGAATTATTTGTCCCAAACCTATATGTAAATGACGTTACACTTCAAAACAGATTATAATCTTCGAAATTGCACTTAACCTAACTTATGTTGTAGTTGTGTTGTGTGTGACAAAATAGAGTGAGAGTGAGAGACAGTGAGGTCTGCTGAGGTAGGTGAGGTGAGGACTGAAGACTGAAGACAGGAAGTTGGATTTTTTTCCGGTTTACTCTACGATCGTGAAGACAGCTATCGCCAGCTGTCGACCCTACATTTTTCCCCCTCCCACAACGATTTCCCCTCTTCGCCCTCTCGACCAATCAGATAACGCCTAGGTTTGAGCAGTACAGTCGATGCACAAAAAAAAGACCTCGCATTTGAATTTACCTTCTATGGATAATTAATAGTTTTCCGAACTAAAACTAATAACTGTGTATATGTAATATAGCACATATACGCACCAAAAAGTATAAATAAATCGAAACATATAAATTTTATCATATATATGTTCTCAGCATACAAGGAGTGTTTGGACGTACTTGAAACTATGTTGAAACAATATTCGACCAAATATTATTGTTTTAAATACATATTAAAGAATTATTAAAAACCATATATAATATATTTAAGTTAATTTCAGCCTGAAGTCCAGCTAACGAATTAGCACTCAGCGTACTAAGAAAGTTCGGACAAACATTTACCTATGTTGTGACAATATTCCCCAAAATTTTATCATTTTAAATTAAAGTATACACTTAAATGTACAACATATTAAAAAATCATTAAAATCTAAACATATATATTTAGGTTAATTTTAGCTTAAAGTCCAGCTAACGAATTAGCGCTCAGCGTACTAAGAATGTTCGGACGAACATATACCTATGTTGAGACGATATTCCCCAAAATGTTATCATTTTAAATTAAAGTATACACTGGAATGTACAACATATTAAAAAATCATTCAATTCTAAACATATATATTTAGGTTAATTTTAGCCTAAAGTCTAGCTAACGAATTTGTTCTCAGCGTCCTAATAATGTTCGGACAAACATTTACCTATGTTGTGACGATATTCCCCAACATTTTATCATTTTAAATTAAAGTATACACTTGGATGTACAACATATTAAAAAATCATTCAATTCTAAATATATATATTTAGGTTAATTTTAGCCTAAAGTCTAGCTAACGAATTTGTTCTCAGCGTACTAATAATGTTCGGACGAACATTTACCTATGTTGTGACGATATTCCCCAAAATTTTATCATTTTAAATTAAAGTATACACTTAAATGTAGCACATATTAAAAAATCATTAAAATCAAAACATATATATTTAGGTTAATTTTAGCTTAAAATCCAGCTAACGAATTTGTTCTCAGCGTCCTAATAATATTCGGACAAACATTTACCTATGTTGTGACGATATTCCCCAAAATTTTATCATTTTAAATTAAAGTATACACTTAAATGTAGCACATATTATAAAATTATTAAAATCTAAACATATATATTTAGGTTAATTTTAGCTCAAAGTCCAGCTAACGAATTAGCGCTCAGCGTACTAAGAATGTTCGGACGAACATTTACCTATGTTGTGACGGTATTCCCCAAAATTTTATCATTTTAAATTAAAGTATACACTTAAATGTAGCACATATTAAAAAATCATTAAAATCGAAACATATATATTTAGGTTAATTTTAGCTTAAAATCCAGCTAACGAATTTGTTCTCAGCGTCCTAATAATGTTCGGACAAACATTTACCTATGTTGTGACGATATTCCCCAAAATTTTATCATTTTAAATTAAAGTATACACTTAAATGTACAACATATTAAAAAATCATTCAATTCTAAACATATATATTTAGGTTAATTTTAGCCTAAAGTCTAGCTAACGAATTTGTTCTCAGCGTCCTAATAATGTTCGGACGAACATTTACCTATGTTGTTACGATATTCCCCAAAATTTTATCATTTTAAATTAAAGTATACACTTGGATGTACAACATATTAAAAAATCATTCAATTCTAAACATATATATTTAGGTTAATTTTAGCCTAAAGTCTAGCTAACGAATTTGTTCTCAGCGTACTAATAATGTTCGGACGAACATTTACCTATGTTGTGACGATATTCCCCAAAATTTTATCATTTTAAATTAAAGTATACACTTAAATGTACAACATATTAAAAAATTATTAAAATCTAAACATATATATTTAGGTTAATTTTAGCTCAAAGTCCAGCTAACGAATTAGCGCTCAGCGTACTAAGAATGTTCGGACGAACATTTACCTATGTTGAGACGATATTCCCCAAAATTTTATCATTTTAAATTAAAGTATACACTTGGATGTACAACATATTAAAAAATCATTCAATTCTAAACATATATATTTAGGTTAATTTTAGCCTAAAGTCTAGCTAACGAATTTGTTATCAGCGTCCTAATAATGTTCGGACGAACATTTACCTATGTTGTGACGGTATTCCCCAAAATTTTATCATTTTAAATTAAAGTATACACTTGAATGTACAACATATTAAAAAATCATTCAATTCTAAACATATATATTTAGGTTAATTTTAGCCTAAAGTCCAGCTAACGAATTTGTTCTCAGCGTCCTAATAATGTTCGGACAAACATTTACCTATGTTGTGACGATATTCCCCAAAATTTTATCATTTTAAATTAAAGTATACACTTAAATGTACAACATATTAAAAAATCATTCAATTCTAAACATATATATTTAGGTTAATTTTAGCCTAAAGTCTAGCTAACGAATTTGTTCTCAGCGTCCTAATAATGTTCGGACGAACATTTACCTATGTTGTGACGGTATTCCCCAAAATTTTATCATTTTAAATTAAAGTATACACTTGGATGTACAACATATTAAAAAATCATTCAATTCTAAACATATATATTTAGGTTAATTTTAGCCTAAAGTCTAGCTAACGAATTTGTTCTCAGCGTACTAATAATGTTCGGACGAACATTTACCTATGTTGTGACGATATTCCCCAAAATTTTATCATTTTAAATTAAAGTATACACTTAAATGTACAACATATTAAAAAATTATTAAAATCTAAACATATATATTTAGGTTAATTTTAGCTCAAAGTCCAGCTAACGAATTAGCGCTCAGCGTACTAAGAATGTTCGGACGAACATTTACCTATGTTGAGACGATATTCCCCAAAATTTTATCATTTTAAATTAAAGTATACACTTGGATGTACAACATATTAAAAAATCATTCAATTCTAAACATATATATTTAGGTTAATTTTAGCCTAAAGTCTAGCTAACGAATTTGTTCTCAGCGTCCTAATAATGTTCGGACGAACATTTACCTATGTTGTGACGGTATTCCCCAAAATTTTATCATTTTAAATTAAAGTATACACTTGAATGTACAACATATTAAAAAATCATTCAATTCTAAACATATATATTTAGGTTAATTTTAGCCTAAAGTCCAGCTAACGAATTTGTTCTCAGCGTCCTAATAATGTTCGGACAAACATTTACCTATGTTGTTACGATATTCCCCAAAATTTTATCATTTTAAATTAAAGTATACACTGGAATGTACAACATATTAAAAAATCATTCAATTCTAAACATATATATTTAGGTTAATTTTAGCCTAAAGTCTAGCTAACGAATTTGTTCTCAGCGTACTAATAATGTTCGGACGAACATTTACCTATGTTGTGACGGTATTCCCCAAAATTTTATCATTTTAAATTAAAGTATACACTTAAATGTAGCACATATTAAAAAATCATTAAAATCGAAACATATATATTTAGGTTAATTTTAGCTTAAAATCCAGCTAACGAATTTGTTCTCAGCGTCCTAATAATGTTCGGACAAACATTTACCTATGTTGTGACGATATTCCCCAAAATTTTATCATTTTAAATTAAAGTATACACTTAAATGTAGCACATATTATAAAATCATTAAAATCTAAACATATATATTTAGGTTAATTTTAGCCTAAAGTCTAGCTAACGAATTTGTTCTCAGCGTCCTAATAATGTTCGGACGAACATTTACCTATGTTGTGACGATATTCCCCAAAATTTTATCATTTTAAATTAAAGTATACACTTAAATGTACAACATATTAAAAAATTATTAAAATCTAAACATATATATTTAGGTTAATTTTAGCTCAAAGTCCAGCTAACGAATTAGCGCTCAGCGTACTAAGAATGTTCGGACGAACATTTACCTATGTTGAGACGATATTCCCCAAAATTTTATCATTTTAAATTAAAGTATACACTTGGATGTACAACATATTAAAAAATCATTCAATTCTAAACATATATATTTAGGTTAATTTTAGCCTAAAGTCTAGCTAACGAATTTGTTCTCAGCGTCCTAATAATGTTCGGACGAACATTTACCTATGTTGTGACGGTATTCCCCAAAATTTTATCATTTTAAATTAAAGTATACACTTGAATGTACAACATATTAAAAAATCATTCAATTCTAAACATATATATTTAGGTTAATTTTAGCCTAAAGTCCAGCTAACGAATTTGTTCTCAGCGTCCTAATAATGTTCGGACAAACATTTACCTATGTTGTTACGATATTCCCCAAAATTTTATCATTTTAAATTAAAGTATACACTGGAATGTACAACATATTAAAAAATCATTCAATTCTAAACATATATATTTAGGTTAATTTTAGCCTAAAGTCTAGCTAACAAATTTGTTCTCAGCGTACTAATAATGTTCGGACGAACATTTACCTATGTTGTGACGGTATTCCCCAAAATTTTATCATTTTAAATTAAAGTATACACTTAAATGTAGCACATATTAAAAAATCATTAAAATCGAAACATATATATTTAGGTTAATTTTAGCTTAAAATCCAGCTAACGAATTTGTTCTCAGCGTCCTAATAATGTTCGGACAAACATTTACCTATGTTGTGACGATATTCCCCAAAATTTTATCATTTTAAATTAAAGTATACACTTAAATGTAGCACATATTATAAAATCATTAAAATCTAAACATATATATTTAGGTTAATTTTAGCCTAAAGTCTAGCTAACGAATTTGTTCTCAGCGTCCTAATAATGTTCGGACAAACATTTACCTATGTTGTGACGATA